CACCGCAAATTATTGTATAGGCCCCATACGCATTCAATAGGCCACTACGATTCTGAATGGAAGTCGAATGCGGGGCGCATCCCTTAGACGGGATCGATGAATGCCAGACACTTTTTCCTTTATCCTTAACTGACCATAGAATTTCAATGAAATTGTGCGCCAATCGCTGACCATGGGAACGTCACCACTGTCCAGCTTGGGCTTATCTATCTAGTTACAGGGCACCTGCGATCTAAGAAGGATTGTATTTGAGCTACAATACATTAATCCACATAATATTTTGTATCTCAAAAACAGGTCCACAGGCGTTGTCCGAAGCTCATACCGACAATATTCATACACATATTGAAACTTATTAGGGAAGGCTCAACCGGTAATTTCTTCAAGTGGGTAGGAACATAAATGGGACAGCGGTTGGTTGCAGTTTCTTCTGTCTGCTCTATGGGCAGAATTACAGAGCCGGTTCTAGAATGTCATAATTTGATGGACTGAAAATGTATGGATGTCGGGATTCATCATGACATCAAAGGAGTCCGAGATGGAACAGTGTCTTCAATTCGTCAAGAAAAACAGTCACACTATCTTATCTTAACAAACAAGTCAAAATATCCGGTGGTGTTGCTAGTGTGAATAGGTACGAATAGACAGCCCGGAAACATTTCACTTTACATCGCATTAGCTCATCTGAGTACTGTCAAATGTGTTATCGCTGAGAATAGGAACCAGAACATGCACTGATGAAGCTGTGTGACGTCGAGAATCCCGACTTCATCTTCCGAAGTAGCTACTGTAAATGGCTGAACGGTACCGCAGGTAGCCCGCCCCCCTCCTCAACATGTGAGAAGGTACACACCAAAACAGCCACCTTTACGCTTTTCTTTCTATCTTCGATGAAGTCACCGCTACATTATAGCGGAGTACTTGCAAGACGTCTAATTGGTGGACATTGTCAACCGCCGATAAAAGCAAAAGTTAGCTAGAACTTGGCTCATCCAACGTTCCCACACGCATGGCTGAGGAACTCAACGTCAAACCACTTCGGAGTGATCTATATTAAGGCAGGAAGAGTAAATCACAGTAAAGCATTTGAAGAAGAGCTGGATTCTCCTGGATTCCTGAAGGGAGTCCTGAAGACGACAAGGGTGGTTCTTTGTAATTCATGAATCAACAGTTCTATTTCCTCATTCTTATGATCAGGGGCTTATGAAGAAACTAGACAGCTTCATTCACGAATAATCTTATTCCTTGTTTGGTAGTGGATTTGACGAGACGACAGTGGAACCTAGTAAAAATGATTGCTTTTTGGTTGCCTTACACGTCGTTAGAAGGGCGAGTCCTCTCGTTGAGGTGTGGTTCAAACCCTATCTTTGCTGCCTGTTAGGATATCGGAAGGGGGCGATCCTTTCGAAGAGTTAGGTGGCAACATTCATCATTAGCCTGCCTGCTTCCCCTACTCAATTTTGAAAGCATGTTGTTTGCGAACGCGCTATAGAAGGACTGTAGATTTGACAGCAGTAAAAAGGGCATTGTTGATAGATCAATATTATAGTTGGTCGCTATTTGCGTGGTCGTTCGCAGTAAGTAATCGTCGACGGAACGATGCGCCATGGATCAGACTGCCGATACCTTCTACATACTTCATCATTACGAAACTGATCGCCTCGACACTCTGGCTTGGAATGACATATATTGACTGTTTGGCAACAGTGACCCTCTATTGTCACTTACCCTAAAAGACACGAACTCTGAGAAGAGATTTGCATCGACGAAGTTTTCCTCTATCCTCAAACACGGGCACAGTTCTCGCCTCCCGTCAGAGGCATCCTGTTTGAAGTAACAGGATTTGAAAAAGACGATCCCTAGTCCCGAATCCATCATCCACGACATTCTACGAAAAAGTCACTTTCGAAGCAAGACTCTCTGCAAATATCATTCATACTTGATTGAGCAGGAGTTTGTCAGACGCTCCTCGACTGTAAGTGAACGACGACATCAACCGACTCCATCATTGCTAAGGTTAAAAACTAGACGTTATATGAAAACCTAGACAGGAAATCGCAATGCCCACAAGCGGACGTAAGGCCACAGCCTGCTGCAAAGCGAGGCGCTCAAGCCGAAAGAGGCGGAGCTCGTTCTCCCTCGGCTCAGCTGGGTATTTTATTGTAAGATCCTACCAGAGTGCACTCCAGTAAACGCAAAGTATTCTCTTAACAGCAGAGAGATGGTGTTTTGAGCCCCCATTTCACGCCGATTACAAGGGAGTTTTTAATTGTGATGGATAATGATCGACGACCCCACACGAGAAAGTCGATGGATGTGCTGGAAATACTTGGTAAAACCTGGCTCCTCGATCACCACATATTCATTTGACCTTATCCCATATGACTGCCATACTTCCAGAAGCCCTTAAGCCTGCTCTACAGGGAAAAAATTCGTCAACGTCGAGAAGTCAAGTAGGTGGTAAAGAATGAGTTGCGTCAAGCCCCTCTTCTTATCAAAGGAATGGCATCAATACCCAGTCCGGTTAGTGGAGAGACGTTGTGGCTAAGAAGGGACACTATCTTGATCACTGGTCTAAGTTTATTGCTGTAGTTATTTTGTACGGGAAAACCAACTGAATTCCCTCAAGACTTTTTCCACACCATAACACAACATCCTATATTTTAGAACGTTGGCTATCAGTTGGCTAACGACGGATGAGCACTGTACGATGTTCAAAGCTGACAAAACCTCATAATCGAAATTAGTTCTGGTGATCACTTACTCAAGGTCAATTCTGGTCGTGTAATCAGGAAACCAATGACGGAGAGGGCTTCGAGGACGTATATGAAACATGCCATTACCTAGATGTGACTATATAAGAAGAAATTTGTTCTCGTGGCTTAGATATTTCATTTACCTGTCGATGAAAGTGAGATCCGAGAAAGCTACCAAATGGAGCTAGCGTCACGCCAACCGGTATGGAAACTTTGAGGTAGTCTAGAGCCAGGCTCGGTACGTCACCTTCCAAAACCAGTCGATAGTAGCCCCCTACCATTGAGTTGATTCCTGAAAATCTTGTGGGCTATCAGTTTACTAACAACACATTTATGACAGCTTCCCTCGCTCATTAACCCTATATTACTCATGAACTATGCTTCCTTCCTCAGCAATAATGAGGCACTTTAAAACGCATATAGCTTGTAAATCATTTGGAGAAAGGGCTTAGTATAATCTGCCGTTTCCCTATGATTTTCAGTCCCGTAGCGTTTTTACTGATCTCTTTACCTTTTGATAAAAAATTCTTTGTAGCTGTGGGAAGGTGTAGCGAAAGAACCAACCCATCAACACCACTGTTGTCGGAGTGGCCGTTTTCTCAGTTATTCTGAACAGCAATGTTGTTATAGAGAAGACACATATATCAACACCAGATCCGGCGAAAGCTGTGAAAATCCCTGAAAAAAGGTTATGAGGGCTTTTCGTGTTAAGAACTTCAAACATTTATTGAAAAATGAGCGCGAGAGTTAAGCGTTTCTATATATTTCTCTTACAATGAAGGTCGTATCGTGACAAAGCTGTTCATTTCCGCAGTGGTCTACCCCGTGCAGAATGGACAAAAGTTGATGAACCACTCTTTTCCTCTTTCTTCTTCTCGAGCGTTTTTGGACACAAATGTGAAATTTTTTATCTTAGCCTGCCCACTTTGGCGCAAGCGCCGCCCAATCCAGGGATTTGGTCACATTCCTTCCATTACCTCCAACCACTCTTTCCCGCGTTCTAGAACATTTGAACAAACTTATGAAGCCCCGCCCACCTTGATGTAAACGCTGGCCACTCTATGATTTTGACCACAGGCCTTCTATAGCTTCAACCACTTATTTTCCACGTTATAAAAGTCTTCAAACAGAGTTATGGATTCTTACAAGAGGCCACAACATTTGATTGCACACCCTGGCCATTGTGCGCGGAGCTTCGACATGTTTACATATGCCCACACGCATAAGGCCTGGTCCTCCGTGCATTTTTTTCTGGCCTCCATGCCTGCATTTAATCAACTCGTGATCTTGTGCGGTATGTACCGCCCGCTGCGATAACGTTCCGCCCACCGCCGGTGAGTCTTCTTGATCCTTTCCTCACCTCGTTAACTTTTTCAAGGTGTCTGGGCTGGTATGAAATTTCAATACAGACATTTTGCCCAAGACATCGCACATTCTCCTGCATGCCCCACCCTCTGCGGGCGGAGCTCCGCTGAGCTCATATATGCTCTGTGGTGTTGCCCAACCCATCCCAAACTTGACCCAACTTCTGGGTGCTTCTCTAGTAATATCGAATTCTCGTACAAACAAACAAACTAACAAACGCGGGCATTTTATATATAGTAAGGATGTTTACGAAAATGCAATTAACCCGAAGCTTCTATCACGTACCTCCAACAAAACCCGTGGCTATCAGAACAAAAGCTTTCCATGGCACGAAATCCGGAATCTTTTTGTAGGTTTTCCGTTTCTTTTGTGAATTTAGGATAAATAAAGCTATTGCAAATGAAGCCCAAATCGAGACGAAAAGCATCTTCTTTTGAGCGGCATCGAATAATGGATCAAACTGAAATTATCATATAGTAATCATTCCACTGAGGTAAATCTGAAAATACTAACATATTTGAAGCCAATTATGAGACCTGGAATGGAGCCAATTGTCCCAAATAGTACGGCACGTTGTTCGATTTGTACTTTCATGAAGATAATGGCGAACATGGCGCACATCATACCTAGATAGAGAAAAAATTGGTGATCGAATTCTAGTTTCCCGAAAATTTTCGATCTTTCGGGAAATCTTGACCACACCCATCATTAAAATCAGGTTCTTCACTCTTAAATGTTTCAGCAAGTGCGGATAATTCCAGAATAAAGTAATGGCTTTCAATAACACAGAGTTGAACACAAAGGTGCGATCCTGATGAAGGAACACCAATCCGCCTGCAGCTCCCTGCGATTTTGAATTAGTTGCCTCGCTGTGGCCATCCTTCGTTCGGTTACGCTGGTTAGGTGCCTCTCCGCGCTGCTTACTATTCGAGATTCCCAACGAACAGGGGGAACAGTTTTTGCAATTTTGACTAACACTTTCGGCTAACCGTAAAGGTTCATGTACAGGGACCGGGAATATGAATCCAGTTCCCATTGTAAAGTACAGGTTTCGAAGTCTCTGCTCAATTCAGAAACCTGGCTTACTCTACAAATCCTACCCACCATGTATTGATGGACAAGCGGTTAACCATTCTATTTCATTGTTATAGTGGCCAGAGAAATAGGAAGTAAATTTTCCCTAAGAGCTTAAATTGTCCCTATCACCATAAAATACTATTCAGGCTCGGAAATCAACAAACACTCGGAAATTTCTTGAAGAGAAGCTTTCTGACCTTGGAACGTGTAGTTGGACAGATGAAACACCAAAAACTGCCGGATTGTCATCACCGGGAGTGGAGTGGGTGGCTGCTAATTTGACTACATATTCTCCCATGGGTAGAAGTATTCTCGGTTTAGGCAGGGCTAGTTGAAATGGGGTTGGAGGGAGAGGTAGGAACAAGTCACCGTTCATTAGTAGTCGTTGTTATCACATTTTTTATGAACTCAAACATTAGTGACTAGGGAGATCCACAGCTTTTGTGGGAAAGTCGGCTTGGTTGTGGAACCCTACATTTCGAGGCTTCTTATGCGGAAAGGTTATAGAAAGAAATGTTTTAGAAAGGTGTTACAGGAACTGAATTAGCTCTTTGCTTTTATTTTGTAAACTGTAGATACGGCATACACTTCTGATTACTCACCTACTGACTGCATGAGCAGCGAAAAATCTCTGGCTGTAATTGGGTCAATGTGAAGTCCAAGTGTCATGAATGGAAACGCTACTGCACCTCCTCCTTCTGAGGTCATCCCTTAAAGACTGCTGATTAAATCGGAGGCAAGTCGGATAATTGAAATAAAAAAAATTGAAGATAAAGTAAGGTCATCACCTGCAACAAGAGCTCCTAGGATCATAATCAACGGCATTTGCCAACGCGTCTCGTACAAGGACAACCAGTCATATCGAACTGCTGTCACCCACCACAAAGTCTAAACACAAGTAGGGGAAATGAAATATTATAAGTAAAGTTCCAAACACTATTCCCCTATGCGATTCCCTCCTTGCGGCTGAAAACGGCCTGATATTTGTCTCTTTGACTGAGCTTGTCACCTTGTATTTTGCTCACCTGCATGACGATGATTGGGAAGATGAAGGCAATATATTTCCGATTAAGAATCAGAAAACGTTCAATGAAATCAGCATCAGGCGGAATTTCTTGTACAGTTGACTCCTCCAAGTGCTGTCCTGAATTAAAGAAATCCATTACTACTGCGAAATACATCGATCACTAGTCCAGGGCTTAACTTGATTGGTATGAGTTTCAGTATGGATTGGCTCGGAGTTCAGTGTATAAGTGGCACAAGTGACCCCTGATCCTGCTGACCACTGGTTTACCTTGGCCATATTTTAGCTGGAGTGGGAAAATATTTAGGCATAGTACAATTAGGCTCACCTTCGAGAAAATATTTCCGAAAGAACGATTTCGAACGAGTCGGCTCTGAAATAAGTCAATCATATGATTCTAGCAGAACTGTTTCTGAAAGGCCCAGCAGGGTGAGGAATAAGCCAATTAATTTGATGCTGTTTATTTTGATTTTCAAGCCAAACGCTTCAATATGTTTTTTATAAACTTTTCAAAAATTTTTCTACCATCATTTGTAAAATGAAACATATTTGTGTTTTTGAAATTTCTGATCAACAAATAGAATGTTTAGATGAGTTGAGGGAAATGCAACATTTCTTACCTTGACTTTCTTCTGTCTGGGCCACTGTCATTACCTGAAAAGAATGGTAGGTACTGAGTGATTGAAAGAGCCTTATGAGCTTTACGATGGTCGCCCAGGAAGAAGGAGCGAAGGCATGCTCAGCGAAATACTTATTATTTATGAGAAAACATTTTTTAGACGGGACGAATGAGAAACTGGTAAAACGAAGGGGTTTTAGGAGATGCTATCCGTAGTCTTGAAGCTCTTTGGCGTTGACAGTGCCCGTACATGTATTCTACCCATTCCCGTTCGACTTTCATTCGGAATCGTGGCGGCGTTTGAGTGCGTTTGTGGCTACAACAATTTACAAAAACAGGGACAGGGGATATTCATGCTGGCGTTTTTATCTTCACAGCAGTCTGGTGCCATTTGCACATGCACGGAGGAAGAGAAAGCCTGGTTGGCCAAAACGGTTAGCTATCCAGGATTCGATCACCTGACCGTAGGTATGAAAGTGCACCTCTTGGCGCTACCCTGTAAGCACCAACAGTTTACCATTCTATTGGCATTCGCGAAGTCCTCAACATCAACACATCAACCAATGAGCAAACAAATTCCCCATTTTTGTTGACCTTCTCAAATTTTGAAGCTTTTTCACATTCGGCTACCTCGAAATTTGCACAAAAATCTTTTTAGTGCGAAATATAAGGGATTGATGAGATTTTTGTCGGGCTAATAAGGTCACCTTTTCAGCTGTCTAAGCTTTTTTAGTGACCTGAGGCAAAATGGTTGGATAAGGGGAAGCCTAGCCCTTTCTTATTTGATCCAAACTTGTTTGGAACAAGTCTTAAACCAGCTTCCCAACTGCTGAGGTTAATGGCTTGGTTGGAGGGCAGAAAATTTCTCCATCTTGTGGCTGTCAAGAGCTACCGTACGGTTCTTTCACGGAGAAGCCCTTCAACGACGAAAGTGGTGTGAGTCACTGGGAAAATCTGGATGTGAAGAGTCCACATCGAAGTAGACTTTTTGCTGACAGTCTCGGATGGGGTAAATTATCCCAAACCAGGGATGAAAGAAAAGTGAATGATCGCGAAAGGAAAGGAATAAAGAAAAAACAATACAAGGTGATGAAGGAGTTAATAGAGCTTTTCTGAAACGAAAGGCATGGGCTTAAGTCTGCAAGTAGTGGTGCCACACTATTGATGTCGTCCAGGTTTTGGAAAGAATAACAAGTCGAAAAGGGAGCATTGAAATATGGGATCTTAACTGCGCTCAACAGGTTTACCCAATCAACCGCCTGAAGATCTCCTCCGCAGACGATTTTTTCTTCTGCAATTGAAATTAATGATTTGAAATTGATGATTCTGTCCGGAGACTATAAAAGGCAGCTAATAGACCACTTTGTGAAACGGACACAGAATCAAAATAATAGATGATCCTGTGAAGATAGGAGAAGGGTTCTAATACTTGTAGATGAATTTGAGAGACAAAGTATGAGATCTTCGACGCACATCAATGCTTTAACGGGATGCGCAGTGCACGCGACTTCCATTCGGAATTGTAGTCGTTTATTGAATGCGTATGTGGCTTATACAATGACTTGCGATGTTCAGCCGATGAATAAGTCAGTGCTTTTTTCCTCCCAGACGAGTCTGGTACCAACTAACCGGCCCCGGAGGGATGGAAGGCTTAGTTGTCCTAGGTGAGTAACGAACCAGGATTTAAACCCGCGACCATGCGTTTGCGGAGTGCGCTATTTGCCACTACATCACCTCCGTCAATTAAACAGATGGATGAGTAAATAAATGGATATCCCCTATTTGCTTGCCTACGTATGAATAGTGGCCACTTTGTGTTAGCTGCTCTAGAGAAATCCGAAAAATGATCACGAGACTCTTGTTGTTGTTGGATCACTGAGACCCTCCTGAAATTTCTCTCTGTCGTTTATTACACGGCTTATTCAAAATAAATGATCCTTTCTCCCTTATGTTGTTCAGTAACTTTCCCTATCACCTACTAGTAGAGGGTGGTCAATGAGTCTATTTTATTCTGCGAGTAAGAAGTATTTAGTCCTTCAGTGAGCTGTCATTGTTAAGTGTTCCCTTTGAATGCTCTGTAAACTTGATTCAGTGTGAATAAGAACTGATCAGTCACCGATTTCATGGCAAAAGCTCATACTTGGTCAGGAAACTAGGGGCAACAAATGGATTAGGTTAGTTGAGGGGGGAGGGATGGGGGGCGAAGAGCGGAATGCTCGGATGGAAGCGGTTGTGAGCGACTTGGTATTTTAGCCATCAAGTCATCCTCCTCTACTATACCCATAGAGTGGGGGTGTTCATAACACTCCCCCACCCTATGGTAGCGCTCTCACAGGTGTCCGTTAGGTACAGGTTTTCCAAGTTGGGATCCTGCTTAGTGAGAATCTATTGATGAGCCCTTTATCGCGGATTGGCATTGCTGCTTTAACGATTACGTGGGATTAAAAGAAATAGCCCGAGCTGGGTCTATACTTATGGTTATGGCGTCGAATGAATCAATAATCAATAAACGTGATTGTGATTCGCTGCTTCGTTGACTGATCCAGCAACGATTTTTGCCAATTAGAGCATTAAACGTTTTCTGCAAAGGCTGATTCCTGTTCTTTGAACACTTCAACAGCATTGCAAACGGTTCCAGTCGATTTGGTTCTATTTTCCACATAATACGATGAAGTATGGAAGGATTTGTAATTGGAACAGTCGTTACATTCAAATTATGACCGGTTCCGCTGAGAATTCGTTCGAATGATGGGCGAAAAGAAGGTGCTGGGAAATTTCAAGCCAGGAGATACGCTTTATGGGTGGTGTTTGTTTGAAGGTATGGTGTAATGATCTGGGTATTTTTCGTGTAAATGTCTGAAGAAAGAACAATATATGCTATTTTCTAATATAAACTGCCCTGAAAAATGGGAAGAAAAGGGGGAAAGGGGAAGAGGGTGGACTGGAGGAGGCCGTGGAAGGCCAGAGTGAATTGGATATGTGACGACTTTGATCAGAGGTAGACAATAAATAAGGCATTCTGGAACCGGGCTGGATTGAATCCTCCAAACAGCACGCTGTCTTGGGGCGCGTCTGCAACTGCGCTTTCCTGCGCCTAGCCTTGGAGTAAAAAATAATGAAAATAGTTTGATCAAAATCAGAATTTTAATTTGAATAAGTTTAGCTAAGTAATGGAACATTGGAGGAGCTATTAGAACTACATGTCGACCACAAAACGAAAGATCCCAGATTAATCGAATCAGGAAACATGGTATGAAGAAGTCACAATTATGAAAACGCGAATTAGATCTGAAATGATTACAATAATCCGGCGCTATCTAGTGACACCTCAGCGCTGCAGTAGTAGAGGTTGGTCGAACCGACAGCTCATCAGCTTAAGCTTCAAACTCTTATCTTCCGTACGGACATTTCATTCTTTTTTGAAATTGTTAGGGGTACTGTTCGGTCGCTGGAGCCGGAGTCGTTCTGGGGAGCCTTTTTTTCGACAAAGTTACTTATTTCTTCATTTATCTTTTAGATCAGGTGTACTGTTTAACCGTCTTAAATGAATGATAATGATAGAAGGCATTGTTACTTGCTGAGCAGGATCCAGTCATCTTTAAGGAAGCTATCTAAGTTTTAGGATAGTAGAGGACTTCGAGCAAATATTATCACTTAATTAACAAGTAGAGCTAACCCAAAAGCTCAGATCGAGGGCTAGAAGCTCGAAGTAACCTAGTGGCCAACGATTGGCATTCGAATACAGTACCTCAATCAGTCGGCAACAGTGTCCTAACCATATTGAGGGGTTTGCCTGAAGTTGAGGTCAATAAAGTGTATAAGATCAAATCTCAGGGTCTAGACTGATCTTCTTTGGGATACGAGACCCCCATTCGACTTCTATTCAGGCGTTTTTGAATGGAAATGTGGCCCATACAATGATTTACGACGGCCAGCCAATGTACGGGCTTTGTCCTCCTGGACGAGTTCAATACCAATTAACGACCTCAGAGAGATGGAAAGTTGGTCGACCTAGGCGACTGTCGATCCGGAACTACCTGCCTTACTACTTTACATAAAAGTTGTACTGGATGAATGTGGGTTGCACGACATACCATAGAAGGATATCCTGAGAGTTAGCAAGAGGGAACGTTAAGAAGGAAGATTCAAAATGGCAAGCAAAGGTGCAGTCCGGAAGAGGTAATCTCCGAATTGAAAGTGCAAAAGAAAGCGGAAAACAAAGTGAGACACTCTCTCATTGCACTTCTGCAGTGGAAGATTTCTTCAAAAGGGAAAGAAAAGAAAAGTCGCAATTGCACGTTAGAAAACGAAAAATGACGAACGATTCCTGCTTGAGAACAGAGCCAGTTGTGGCGTAATCATGCAGATCGTCAACTCTTTATAGCGAATTGGCTTGAAATCTCATCGTCGGCGCGGATCACCCGCCCAATAACTGCCGACGACACGATTCAAAACGAGATCTGATGAAGGGTTTACGGGAGTTTTTCAGCCGAGGGTGAAAAATGTAGTGACTTTGTCGTCTTATTGATCAATGACACGAATTCGAGTAAGAGTTTTGGTGAGATTCGCTCTATTCAATCCTCCCAATAAAGGAACATTACTCTTAATGAAAATTTTGAGAACTTTCATAAAAAAGATGTGGACGAACATCGAAAGGATGGGAAATATCACATCGGTTCACTACCAAAACAGTTTACCCGCTCCTTCATAAGAACTGTTCGTTTTCCGTTAGTGATATTCGGACGGCTTGTTCTCCAAATTCATACGCCATGTGTATTTTCTTTCGCTTTCCAAAAATTCACTCGTTGTTTCAATCAAAAGTCGACAAATCTAACATATTTACTTGTACTTCAAAATAATGTTTACATTAGCCTCGTCTGGGTCTGTCTCTGAAAAATGTCAGACTTCAGAAAGTGTCGAAGGAAGAGGGGCTGAATGAAGTGGTCCAGCCAAGCAGCGGACCATCACCTTCAGCCAATTTTCGCAAAAGTGATCCCTCCAAGACTAAGTGTATGGTCGCATGCCAGAGAAG